GCCACCTGTGCTGGTTCCTTGTTAGTTGTGCGCTGCTGCTTCGGTCTTATGGCTCTATTTATCTCCTGCTTGGAGTACCCATTTCCTTCAAGTGCCGATTTTAGGTGTTGCATCTCGTCCTGAAGGTATCTGGGTTCACAAATCCGGATTGCTCTGTCAGATAGAGTTTTAATGACTCCTCTCTTTTGCCTAGGATGGTGATTAGATTCCTTGTTGAGGTATCTGTCCGTATGTGTCGGCTTCCTGTACACTCTGTGTCCCAGTTTACCTGAGGGTAATCTTTCTAAGAGGACGTCGAGGAATGCAATTTTGTTATCCTTCTCAACTTCCATCGTAAACTGTATCCTGGGTTCTATCGAGTTTAGATGATTAAGGAAGTTTTCGAGCTCTGCCTCTCCATGGTTCCAAACAACAAATGTGTCATCCACATAGCGAAACCAACAAGTAGGTTTCTTTGTAGCCGTTCGTAGTGCCATTTGTTCGAAGTGTTCCATGTAAAAGTTGGCGATAACCGGGCTGAGTGGACTTCCCATTGCGACTCCATCTGTCTGCTCAAAGAATTCATTTTGCCATTGAAAGTACGCAGTCGTCAGACTGTGGTGAAATAAGTTGTTGATTTCTTCCGGAAAAACATCTTTCAGATACTCTAAGGCCTGATTTACTGGTACCTTAGTAAACAATGAGACGACATCAAAACTAACCAGAATGTCGTTTGGTAATAGAGTGATATCACTGATCTTTTTGATGAAATGAGTTGAGTCCTTGGCATAAGAGCTGGATTGGCCAATCCGTGGTTGAAGGAGGGTGGTGAGGTATTTGGCTATGCTGTATGTGGGCGAATCTATTGCACTTACAATGGGCCTGAGTGGGTTGCCTGTTTTGTGAATCTTAGGAAGCCCATATATTCTAGGTGGTAAGGCCTCAGATTTGATAAGTTTCCTTATGTTTTCCGGCTCCAACGGTAGTGCTCGGATGAGTTGATTGGTTTTTCGCAATATAGAAGCAGTGGGATTACGTTTCAGCTTTCTGTAGGTGGAGGGGTCTAGAAGTTCGGAGATTTTCGATTCATAGTCAGTCACGTTCATGATTACCGTTGCGTTTCCTCTGAAGATGTCTACCGCAGCAGTAGACGAAACGTTAGGTAGAAATACTAATGGACCACGGCATTATAGCCCGGAAAACTTTTTTGCTAAACTTTCCTAGATTGTTCCGCTGGAAAACTCATTCAGTCTAATTGTCTGACAGTTTTTGTAATATATCTCTCAGGCAGTTTTTTTCCCAATTTTAAAGAGAGAACTCGTTGTACGCCTGTACTAGCTGGTTGTCCAAGTTTTTTAGGAAGGGCATATATTGGAATACCATATCTCTTTTTGTTAGTAGTTACGTTCATATGATCGGCCTCCATATGTATCTCATTTTCTTTTAAATTTGTATTACAGGAATAATAATAAATCTAGTTAAACCAAAACATCGATATCATCAGTCTTGACAACCATCTTACCAATAGTGTTTGACGATGAAATATGAAAAAGAATACGAGTATCAGCCTCTTCATGGTTTGACTTAAGCTCGGGTAGCTCAATGCAGCTGTCATTTCTCACCTAATAAAAATAAAATCACACATATTATGTAAAGGCCAACTTTTAAATTTGGACGAATTATTTTCCCTCACATATTTATTAGCCATCGGACACCCTCCTGCAACAACTACTTCTCTACCATGCGGTACCAAATTCGAAGATTTATATACAAAGTCAGTAACAAACTGTAAAAGCGCCTTCTTATTGGCTGGAGATCTAAGAAAGTTCTTGTTGTTAGGAACTGTCCTGGATTGTATAATACTATAGACATTCAAATTATTTTGAATACCTCTTCTTTCTCGTTTTGAGTTTTTTGTCGAATATTCATGGTCATACCTAAGTATCAAACATTATAGACACTATAGATTTTCTACACGAAAAATGATAAAAATATTGATCAAGATGCGATAAGAGGTCTTGTTTTTTTTCTAGAATTTTCACAGTTACGTTATCATTCCTTTGACGAGAACATTTCAAAATTGATTGTAATTCAGGTATCGTTGGTATTTTTACCATTAAGTTATCGCTAGTTACAGTGGCTTCTCCACAAAAGAGACAACTAGCTTTTTCCATAATGAATCCAATCTAAAAAGGAATAACGTTGCACAAAAAAAAGTTATCATTCAAAAATAGTTATCATAAACCTATTTCTAAACCTAAAAGGTAGCAACCCTGATGCGAAATAATACATTGCTTGTGTATCTCCTATTCACGCAAACTACGACAAAAATTTCACACAATAATAACAAATAGTCTTACGGCTATTTGCACCGCTGTAACCTAAGGGATATTTTATCCAAGTGGAGCTTTGAATGTGACTCTTGTAGAAACAAAAGAACATTCAAAGCTCCATTTAGATTAAATATCCCTTAAGTGATAGCCGTGCAAATAGCCATTAGGTACCTACTCACCCCTATAAAACTAGTACTTTATAGGCATAGGTAAAAACACTCGATATATAAAGGGTATACGGTATACCATTTAAAACGAAACAGGCTAAATATCTGATGCCACTTTTATTTTGTAAATAAATCACTCGTCCACGTAATTTGATTGTGTGAGTATTTGAAACATTTCCAGCACCAACTTAAACCTCTAGAGGGGGTGGGACCAACCCTTACCATTCCAAATGGAACAGGGGGTCGAGTGATACCTGTTAAAAGACCGTTCAATTTTCTTTCAAATGACATCAAATGAATGAGAATTCAATGCTCTTTTAAAAGAGGTGTATCACTCGACTCCTTGTTCGATTTAAAATAGTAAGGGCCCATCCCGCCTAGAGGGTTAAAGTTGAAGTGCCAGAAATGATTGCAGAAAACTTCCCCCTTTGAAAATCAAATTACCTGTAGGAGCGATTTTTTGAAAAGTAAACGTCGCATCAGATATTTAGCTTGTTTTGTTTTGAATGGTATATATCCTGTATAATAGGTATGCTTTACAAAAACCAAAAAATCTATAATAAATAATATTATTGCAAACTTCACAAATTACGGACTCTGTGAGATTCACTTTTACTAAACTCCACCTTTCTGCATTACAGACATGGTGCGGGCCGCGGCGGGTGGTTGCGGGAATGGAGAGGAAGTCGCCCAAACCAGCTGCTTTCTCGCGTTTTATTGTGTTTAAATGGTTCTAGCGGGTTTGTTTTTAAAAATAGACCCTATAATGATCGAGACAAAATATTGCCTATAAAATTTCTCAACTTTTTGTAAAAAAAAAATAAATATATTGCTTTATACAAGCGAGATACAGTAGGTTTAAATGAAGAGAAATGTTCTAAAATTGTGCATCCGTCAAGAAAATTGTTGCGAGTATAAACAATTATCATTTTGAACAAATGAAAAAACTGCTATTCGACCAGGAGCTATAAGGGTTTACAACTGTGAAAAAATTATCATTGAAGCTTGATTGGTTTCAGAGTTATTTGTACCTAAGTATTAAGACGAAAATCGTCTCTTTTTTCATGTTTTTTCTCCATAACTAATGTCTCGACCAATGGAGAGTGTCGTCATTTTCAGTTTCCTATGTAAAAAATCATGCTGAATCGAATGGTACCTGTTTCGATTGGTTATACCTCGATTTATAAAAACCCGATAAGGAGAAGGCTTTTAAGCGCGTGGCCGACGGCCTATGTAGATGAGGGTTTGCTTATACGCCTAATAAATGTCCCTCTCAAAAACAAAGTTGACGTGTTTGAGTGTTTTATTTTTATATGACATTAAATGCCCAAAATCAATGCCGTTTTGTTCTCGATGGGCCACCCTGTATTCTATTACTTTCCCGAACAAAAATTATTCGAAAACAACCCCAATTTTGCTAAAATCGCTCCACAATTACAAATTTCAACCTCTTGGTAGCCGCCATTTTGCAAATGGTAGCCATCTTGGTCCGAATAGGGTGTCATGCAGGTCAAATCCCATATAATAAATAAAAAAAAATCATCTGTACCAAATTTCATGCTTTTATCAAAATTTGCAACATTATCCGACTAACAAACACTTCTGCTATTCAGTTATAAGTATTATTCTTTTTGTTATAAAAATGGCCTGAACTGAAGTCATTTCCTATGCCGTTGTCTGTTGTCCTGTTTCTATTCAGGTATTTTCGGAATCCACCTTCACTAAGCTCTCCGTATTTCCTTTTCGTATTTGATAATTATATATTATTTGAGGGATTATTCTAGAACAGCTTATTAACTAACTGCTGAAATAAGCAAACGTTACCCCATCAAAATCACGAGCAAATGGATAAAATCTTGATTTTACAGAATTTTTGGACATTCTCCTCCTTCATCCCCAACCGATTTCAAAACTAAATTGAGGCAGTATTCTAGAACACTCCTTAGTCTCGACTTTGATATTTGCAATTCTTCATCCCCAACCGATTTTAAGATCCATTTGTGGCAGTATTCTATAGCTCTTCAATAAGTCCCTGCTAGAAGGAAATGGCAAAAGCTCGATTTTTATTCAGTTTACATTTTCAACCATTCATCACCTACAGTTTTCTAAACCAATTCAAGGGGTTATTCATAAATACTGTATTAGGTCCCTGTTAAAAGATGGTCGTGGTACCCCATCCAAAAATAGGATTAAAATCGAGCTTTTCAATACCATCAACCCTTGATCCCTTACCAATTTCAAAACCAATCTTAGGCAGTATTCTAGAACAATCACTCAAGTCCCTGCTAAAAGATGGTTATTTCAAGAATAGGGGTTGGAACCCTATTTGTATTCAGTTTTTTGATACCTTAAATTATTTGTCATTTTAGTGTTTCAAACGAAAAGAAAATGCTCCAAAAATCCCTCCCGCGCATCAACAGTTTACTAAAGTATCTTTCAGGACAAGTGTGCTAAGCAACAACCAATACTGAAAATAAAAATAAATTAGGTAAAATAGGAAAAAAATAAAACAACACACGAGTTGGCGCTTTTTAAGAATTTTTAATTTTTTTTTGGTGTCACTGGAAGACATCTCGGACAACACACTTCCACAACACACTCTAAAACTACCTTAAATTAGGCTATACAAATACAACTAAATGCAAGGAGTTGAGCAAAACAATACAATATAGAGCCGATTGATTATCACGTTTTTCGTATTGTTTGTTTGACTTAAAATTTAATAGCCTGCAATTGCCCCAAGCGTCGATTGTACAAATGCTAAGTTTATCTCACGGCCGTTCCAATATTACATTTGGGAGCATCATTTTTCTCTGGATTAGAAAAAATATATAACAAAAGAGAGTTCGCAGATTTCTCAAGTAAATGCCAATTTCACTTTTCTAATTCACAAACAAAACACAATAAAATTATAATATTAACAAAAACTTTGGAAAAATGTGAATTTATCATCTCTTTCAATTCACTAGTGGTAAGAAGAAAAATTGGTTGTTCAGTTGAACTTTTGTACTATTTTTTATTGCTTATTAGTGTGTATGACAGAAGACAGGATTAACAAAGTGATTTCACAGTCCCTTCCATTATTCCAGATTTCCTCCCCTTACTCTGAGTGCAGGGAAATAAACATCCCTCCCGGATGGAATATTGGAACGTAGACGAATTATTTTTGGAGATACAATCTTAATAATTATTTTGAAACAAAAAACGAGTAGATAATGATATTTATGTACGACCAGGCTGCAAAGTACCTATGTGTGCCCTAATTTGTGGGCACAATAAGATACTTTTCAGCCCGCAGGTCCACAGATTTAACAGCCCTTTGAAATTATCTATCACTCGACCCCCTGTCTCATTTAAAAATTTTGGGGTGGTAGCCCTGAAGGTTAGGGGGTTGAAGAAGCGAAAACCAGTTACACTTAAAAAAACATTCCCCCTCAATACATTTGTTGGCGTGTTTGAACGATTTCCAGAAATCAGTCTCTTTACACAGATAACGTTGGTGACAAATTTTGAAATGAAAGCCCTGTAGAAACTGCCTGTATTGTTGCCAATTTTCTAGATATGGGACTTTTGTTTTTGTTGTGTATTGAAGTTTAAATAGTGCAAGATTCAATAAAATTAAAGGCCTGATATACAAAAACTTATAGGTATGTAATAGATAATTGAAAATAAGTTAGATTTATGCAGTTGAATTATCAGGGTGTCCGGATATTCCACCGACAACGCTTGACAGGTAACAGACCTCGAATTTTCATTAAAATTGAGATAGGAACATGCAGCCTTAAAGTGCTCTATTTTCAAGATACAGTTGTCAAAGTTTTACTTTTATTTCCGATATTTGTCAATTATTCCACAATAAAACAACACAGCGATCCGAACTTGGGTATCGGGGGTTTCTTAAGGCGAGAAATACAAATTCATCCACGGCTTCGATATCACTAGTACGGGGCGCCACCTACGGCACATCGAACATTTTTAAATGGCAAAACTTATTTCCAGTTTGGTGTATCGACGTGAATATTGAAAAAATCGATTCTCCAACCTTTCTAACGTTAAAATGGTGTACTTTGTTCAAGTCCCTAGAGGTAAGAAGTTTGATGTGCTGTAGGTGCCAGGTGGCGCCCCCTACTAGTGATATCAAAATCGTGAATGAATTTGTATTGCTCGCCTTAACAAACCCCTCGATACGTAATTACGGATCGCTGTGTCGAATTATTGAGGAATAATTGACAAAAAACGAAAATAAAAGTAAAACTTTGATACCCTGTATCTTGAAAATTAATGTCAATTTTTATCGAAATGCGAGGTCTGCCACCAAGCGTTGTCGCTCGAATATCCAGACACCATGTAGGTTTATTCCAATCTCTCCACTAAATTAAACATAGCAGCATATTTGAATTATATTTGTTTACCACAACTCAACATCACCATAACGCTCAGTGTCATCTTGAGGGGTTGAAGGTTGTCAAGATACATAGAAAGTTTCAAAACAAAAATAAATGTTTGGGTTTGAAAATTCAGTTTCAAGCTAGATAGGTAGTAAAAAATCTGGTCATGATAAATCCTAGTTTCGATTTACACCTTTATTTATTACTCTCTAATAAACTTGCGAGTTCTTTGCTTTTAAGCTTTTTTTTGTACACGTGAGATAATCGTTAGTCAAGCAAAATTGGAAAAATCCCTACAATGAATGAGGAACATGGCAAAACTTTTCACTGGAAATACTTTGAAGGAAAAAATTATAAAAATACATACCAAATATGAATTTAATTTCCAGATATTGCATGTGGAATTTCAATTTGATTAGATCTTTTGATTCTTATTTACCAAAAAACTAGACAATTTGAAACACTATTAAAATTGTATAAATCAGGAACAGAATATAAATAAATTACATCACTTCATAAATCTATTTTCCCAATAATTTTTTTCTGGCCTACAGTTTTCAATAAGAAAATTTGTTGGCTATTCCAAATAGGTAGGTACGTAATTTTTTATTTCATAATAATAAATATGGTTGCAATAGGCCTTTTCGGAAACGCTGATCCGATCAACCATATCACCAGCTGATCGTTTTTTAACTTCCTCTAATGAACAAGATTGAAAAAAGACAAAGTAGATCAGCTGGTGATCCGGTTATTCCGATCAGCGTTTCCGAAAAGGCCCAATAAGTTAGTTATATACAACATATAAAAACTCCTTGCGATTTCTATAATACACATCTTAATAACATAAATTTTGAACAAACCAAAAAAACAAAGAAACTTATAAGAAAGCATATAAATCACCCCAAGAAAAATGCGTACTGCTAATATAAACCTAATAAAAATATGTATATGAATAATCAAATTAAATGTGACTTAACGATTTTTTTTTTACCAGATTTGACAAAATAAAAATATGCGAATAATTTTTTTCCTAAAATTGTCTAAAGTATGAACAGGGTATTATTTCCCATATATAGTGCACACCCCACCTGCAACCTTTACAGGTAGAAAAAAAGTCTAAATTATGTTTTTTTAAATTTTAAATGAAATTTTTAGAATCCAACATCAAAAAAGGAAATTGAATTTAAAATTTCTAATTTTGCATGAATTCAATAATGAATTGTCAGTATGTACGTCCTATAATATTTGGTTTCATAATCTTGACGAATACAATTTTGAGATTCCAAAAATTATGTACATATATAATTTGCCCATGTTCGGTTAAGCCGCTTTCAATATATTTGGCTCTAAAAAATTGCAAAAACTACCATCAGGAAAAATTACGTTTTAGATTTTGTGCATCACCTTACTTGCAGCCTTTACCTTTACAGGTGGAGTAGTTCACAAAATCTAAAGTAGGTTTTTCTGATGGTATTTCCACACTCTTTGGGATCGCAAAATTGTGCTTTTCACACCTAATAATATAAGAGCATTACATTGAAAAAAAAAATTATTTATGCAAAATCATACAGATATTTTTTTTTTTATGGTGGATTCCATAAAGTCAACAACTTTTTTATTCACAAATTTTTCTGTCTGTGAGGGTGAAGGCTGCAGGTGGAGTGTCAATCTATGAAGAAACACCCTGTATATTAAAAAATAAAACTATAGAAATCTGCTCACTATTCTTACTCGAACTATCATCGTCGTAAGAATGAAAACTTAAATAACATCTAAGCGTCTTAAAATAACACACAAAATATGACTAAATATGATGCCAAAGCAAAAACAGCCTGTTTATAAGACAACGCGAGTATTCCTATAGTGAGCTTCTATATACATAAACTTTCTTATTTACCACAACAGAAAATTATACCCATAACAATAGTCATGAATTTTTGAAAATACATTTATAATTATATTTGTAATAAAAACCAATATGGTCTGTTACTGACTGTTTTTATGAAAGAATGTTGTGTAGTGTTTTCTGCAACTTCTTTCCTTTTCTAACTTATGTCTATATAGAAAGATGGGTTTAAATTCAAAAACAATTTCAATAAATTTCTAATAAATGCTAACAAATATGTGCATAAAGAATTTTCCGACATAAAAAAGTGGTCTGAAAAAAGTATATAAAAAACAATTACATCACCTCTTTATGTCTAATAACTGCTGCTCAAAAGTTACTAAAATCTGAAAATAGCAGCAGCATAAAAGACAAGGTTTTCAGTATAAGGAGTTAAAAAATTAGTTATTACCAGGAGACTGCAAAGTGATTATTGCATTTTTGGCTTTCTCTAAATTATCTAAGTATAGTATTTTCAGCAATAGAAAACAGTTGCAAAACAAACTAAAAAAAGAATGTTCCTAGGAAGGTACCCGTTTGTATAAAAATTTATAATTTTTTTTAATAGTTATCAATACCTTTTTGCACCTTGGTAATGTTATTTTTAGAGTATAACATAGCTCTTATTATGTTTCAGTTTTTTGCCCTGGCACTGGACAATACTTGCCCCAACTTGCCACACAAAATCGAAGCCAATAACAAAAATTAACCAGCATTTGCAGGTCGTTTTTGAGCAGATAGTTAACCAGATATATTAAAGATATTAATAACTTTTAACTGAACCTATTTTTTAAAAAAAAGTCTCTTCCTAATACTGAAAACCTCAGTTGATGTATAAAATATAGGCATAATTTTACTCTATTTTTGACTCCAGATTCAGTTTTATTTTACTCAATAAAAATGATAAAATGATAAAAACATAATATGGGCGAGTATAGGTGTATAAGCAATACAAAAAAGGATAATGCATATAAATAACATGCAAAAAAGGCAGTTTTTTATAGAGTATAAAATCAAAATGCTTCTGAGACTTTGATAAACAGGTTTTACAAAATGCACTACCCAGGTCAATTATTGTGCAAATAACCTACCATATTTACTACAACATCACCTATAGAAAAATATCAAACCTATCTGTTTTTTTCAAACTTTTAACATTCAATATGGAAAATGGCACCAATAAGTAAATCTAGTTATAAAATTTGTATATGTACTTGTAGTGATTGGTAAAGTCGTCAGGCTAAAAATATGAGCCAATCTGGAAACTAAAACAAATGTAACATTACGTAGTAAGTAAAAACCTATGTGCGAGCTTGAAGTCGCATTGTAAATGATGGATTTTTTTATTCAGCTGGTGGGTTCGAGGATGCACCTAGAAAGTAATAGAAATGAGTTGAATTACATGTATTATATAATTGTTCAAAATGGTTATTAATGACAGTTTTATGATGTTCCCAGTAATTTTTTATCAGTGTACATAGCTAGTTTAGACAAACTTTTTACAATTTATATGAACTCTGTGTGGTTTATAGTACCTAGTAAGGACATTTTGGCTATAATTATTTTTATGGAAAACAGTTCTAACTCAATGAATCTATGATGGCCCTCTTCGGGTCTGAAAAAAGGACGGTTCTGGAACGGTTCAAAACAATCGCAGAGTTTATTATTGAAAGGACCCCGCACCCGATACATGAGAATTTCGGAACCCTTCGATTTTCTTTAAATTTCAATATGTTGTAGGTATGGATAAGTACTCGACAAAAAAGTAAGTTAGAATATGGTGGCTCCCCCCGTTTGGCTACAGTGGCATATCAAAGTTTCGGCCATCAAAATACAATTTTGCATTGTTTTTGCATTTTGATGCTAAAAATCTAAAAATGAGCCTACATTTGATGGGTAGTAACAGCTGTGGGTATACAAAATAATTTTTAGTATGTAAGTCCAGTGGCGTACATTGGAATATTGAAAAATTGTGAAAAATCTTCTTTGTGCGGTGGGAATTGGAAAAAGAAAATCGGTTATTAGGCTTAAAATAAGTTTTAATTTGATAAATAATGACAGATGCTGATATTTGAACTTACAATACAATAATCGCCAATCATTTAATCCAGTGCCGTAGATAACAGTATGGAAAAAATTGTGAACAATATGCTTTGTGCGGTGGTAATTGGAAAAAGTAATTCGTTTATCAGGCTAAAAATAAGTTCATATTTGATAAATAATGACAGAGGCGGATATTTAAACTTACAACACAATAAATTTCATCCAGTGCCGTAGATAACAGCGGTAAAAAATTGTGAAAAATCTTCTTGGTGCGGTGGTAATTGGAAAAAAAAGGAATTAGGTGATCTAGCTAGAAATAAGTTCTATCTGATAGATAATGACAGGTGCGGATATTTGAACTTACAATAAAACAATTTTCATCCAGTGCCGTAGATAATAACAGTAATAAAAAAAATGTGAAAAATATGCTTTGTGAGGTCGTCATTGGAAAAAGTAATTAGGTCATCGGGCTAAAAAACAAAACATATAACTTTCAGCACATCGATCACTTGAAAATGATTATCAATATTACTTTATCCTAAGCTATACTGTGTACTGTCTAGCTGCAGGACGACGATCTTGGGCATCTTAACTACATACAACAATCTCGTTGAAGGATAATGCACTACATTTCCTTGGTGCCTTCCGTATCCCAAATACCACAACATGCGAGATACATGCACACAAATACCCAGAGTTCTAGCTCCTGCATTACATATGCAATAGCATGATGTAATAGAATCTGGTAGGGGACCCTCAGTTTTTACTTCTATGTCATAGACCTTGTAAGTAATGTATCTAGTATGTCTTGTTGCTTGAGTAAATCGTGAGAAAAGTCGAGTCCGTATGAGTCCAGGTCCATTTTGTTGTATTTCAAGATCAAACTGGTTGGCATTTTGTCTTGGCCTTCGATCCTGCATGTAATCTGGAGCTAACGATACCTAGAATATGTTTATCAATGCACACGCGTCATTAACAGATTCCCCGATAATACGATCCCATTAATATTCATGGAGCTGACATGACGTTGCAAGAGTAGAGAGAATGCTTCAACTTGCTAGAGAGCCGAATTTTTTTCAACAAAGAGTAGAGAAAGAATATATTGATCGCAGATTTGGACAAGGTCCTTGGACGCCAATAGAAAATGATGAATTACATGACTTTTCACATTTGACGATTACATATCTTCGTGATATCCAGCTCACATGCACGATCAAATGCTGAGACAAAATGTTAACCAGTTGGTTCTTGAAATACAACAAAATGAACCTGGACTTATACGGACTCGACTTTTAACACGATTTACTCAAGCAACAATACATACTATACATTACTTACAATGTCGTTGACTTAAAAGTAAATATTTAGGGTCCCCTACCAGATTCTAGAGATGTAACGTGAAAAAAAACAATCCGTTTTTTTTGTTTTTTGCCAATTAAACTTTTCTTGGGACAAGAAATTGGTTCAAGCAGTGAAATATGGTCATGGATAAAACGTAAAATATTGCTTTATTCTAGAAATAATATAGGAAAAATATTATTATGTAAATAAAACATGTTGTCAGGTCAGGTACATGGTACCTACATCAATGTATCAACTATCATATTATAGGGAGAACAAACTATCGATAGGAATATCGATACTATCGATATTTTTTTTATTTTCGATAGTATCGATAGTTCTGTAGCAATATCGATAGTTCCAAAGTAGCCAAAGGTGAATGAAGACGTCTGTAAATTGAGGGAAATATAAATAAATCTGTGGCTGTTTTGAGAAATCTGTAATTATTTTTTTGAGGTAGACATGCAAAATAGGTTCGTTTTTTTATAGGTTAGAGTAGAGCCTAGTTTACGTTGTATTTAGAGTTTTTGAGTCTTTTTTTCTCAAATAAAAAAATATGCCTTTATTTTTTGATTAATTTATACCAGTTATACCAGAGCAAACTATCGATAGTACAATCGATAGTTACTATCGATGGATAAGCCATTTTATCGATATCACTATCGATAGTTTATTTTTCGATAGTTTGTCAACCCTATCATATTATATCACATCATACATTCATCATATTCATATAACACTAGAACAGAACATCACTGATATGAGACACTTTCGCTGTTTGAAGAATTTTCAGACTTTAACTCCGTCTCCAGGGTTATCAAATGTCCGTTTTTGGAGATACTCACGAATTTTAAAATTAAATTATTTGGGAAAAAAACACAAAAACGTGTTTTTTTCTAGTTTTTTTTCATGTTTTTTTTTACATATTCTGAAAAAAACCTGTTTTTTTACATTTGAATCATTTAGAAAAAAAACAAAAAAAACGTTTTTTTTTCTGGTTTTTTTACATCTCTACCAGATTCTATTACATCATGCTATTGCACATGTAAAGCAGGAGCTAGAACTCTCGGTGTGTGTGTGTGCATGTATTCGGCATTTTGTGGTATTTGGGATACGGAAGGTACCAAAGGAAATGAAGTGTATTATCCTTCAACGAACGAGATTGTTGAATGTAATTAAGATGCCAAAGATCGTCGTCCTGCAGCTGGACAGTAAACAGTGTAGCTTAGGATAAATAATATTAATAACGGTGTGACTAGAGTCCCGACTCAGAATCCATATCCAGTCCCGAATGACGTCATCAGTGGTTTTGTCGGGACTGGTGTTCCGCCCCGACTCGGGACCCACTTACGATCCCAAATTAAAAGACCTGTTTTAAGGAGGAAATCTCAACTATAAACCAAGATCAAGCGGATGTAATTGAGCTTGACGGTGAATATTTTACTGTGCACACCAGAGAAACTTCAAATTTTGCTAACATGGATAACCCAAATATTATAGTTTTTAAGTAATTAAATCTTGAATATTATTCATAAATCAATCAAATCCAAAACTCTAAAAATGAATTTCAAACTGCACCGAATAAAAATTTGCAAGATGGAAATAATAATAAAAATATGTCTAATTATGTGGATACAGAGTCGATAAAAATGTCTGAGATTGTTAAAAAAAAGGTAGGTAGAGCAAAAGGTTCTGGGGTCGTATTTTCGAATATTCTCGCATACGAAATTTGATACGATTTCGAATGATCCCTATTTAATTTACATTGCTGTCAGTCAAATTTCGTGTGAGAAATTTACTCGAATGAATTCGAAAATACGACTCCTGTTCTTAACATAATCGGTGTAAAGAAGACACGAAGTTATGGCCTTTTCTAACCTGGGAATAGAAACAAAACGAGAAAAAATGTTATCTTGGATTTCAAGAGAAGAAGAAGCAGCATATTATGCTATTCAAACTGGTGAAAACATTGAGGATTCCCATATGGAAAATAATCCAGAGAAAGTGTCCGACGTCGTTTTGCATCCCGAGGTTGACTTTTCCTTAATTCGGCAATTTTTGCAGAAAGCTGCTGGTATATTTGACAAAAAACGTTGTTCAAAAAGGACGCTGATAGATATCTGTGCGAAATGTGTGGAATGTTATCCGAAAGAACGTTAGATTCTTGTTACACCTCGATAAAATGTGAAGCTTGCCTTTCCAGCATTTCCATTTGAAGTGTAAAGTCTGAGGAAAATTCCAAAGGGGCAAAATGCTTACGCTAGAAGATTTAAATTAGCTAATCTATTTTTTGTCAACAAAATTAGTGATTTTGAAATAAAATATAGGTACGCTTCGACCATAATGTCTTGAGTTGAATAATATGATTTCACCTAATGAAGGAATTATTGCTATTCTGCTTATAATTTCGGGACCATATACGAGTCCCGAGTCCCGATTCGGGACCTATATCCAGTCCCGACAAAACTACTGATGGCTCATTTAATGACGTTATTCGGGACTGGACGTGGATCCCGAGTCGGGACTCTAGTCACAGCGTATTGAATGAATGAAATAGTGGGCTGCCACGACCGTAGTGCACATAGGTCTCCTGTGGTGGACCCGTCGTGCCCGCGTATTAATAATAATTTTCAAGTGATCGATGTGTTGAAAGTTATATGATTTTTTTTTGTTTTTTAGCCCAATGACCAAATTACTTTTTCCAATGACCACCTCCACATCTGTCATTATCTATCAGATAGAACTTATTTTTAACCTGATCACCTAATTCCTTTGTCCAATTTCCACCGCACAAAGAAGATGTTTCACAATTTTTCACTACTATTACCTATCTACGGCAATGGATGAAAATTATTGTGTTGTAAGTTTAAATATCCGCCTGTGTCATTATTTATCAAATATGAACTTATTTTTATACTGATAACCGAATTACTTTTTCCAATTACCACCGCACAAAGATTTTACACATTTTTTTAATATTCCTATGTACGCCACAGGACATACTGAAAATTATTTTGTATACCCGCCGCTGTCACTATCCATCAAATATAGGCTCATTTCTAGCATCAAAATGGAAAAACAATGCAAAATTGTATGGATGGTATGGAAGCGACTGACGTGAGGTTATGAGTTATTGTTTACTGTTTAGTATAAAAGAGAAAAATTCAGTTTAAATTTGGTTTGTTTGTTACTTTCGGGCGCTTTAACGTTAACATAGAACATATAGAGCAGAGCCAATAAAAAAAAAGACACTAGATTCTCTGTTTTCGGGAGTAAACTGGAAGTGAGGTTGGGTTAGGATGTCGCAGGATTGCTACAAGTGCATGAACCCCTGTGTTTTAAGGGAGGAGAGCGGCAAACTTTTTGGTTTCCCATGTGATTTCTGCAAGAAAGTAATTTGCAGGGAAGGCACTGGTGCTTTAGCCGGAGAGGTTAGAATTATCCCAAGCACTTCGAGAACAACCCTTTATCTATGTCCCACCTGTAAGGATATCATCAAGAACCTGCCGGAAATAAAGAAGATAATGCAGAAAAATAGTGAAGACATCAAGAAGACTCAGCAGCAGGGTGACGAAACGGCTAAATCCCTGGAAAGGCTGAAGAGTGAGGTAGATTCTTTAAAAAGCTCTATGGAAAGGAGAAGAAGGGAAAATGAAGCAATAAGAGGGGAGATATCAAGTATAAAGAAAGAAGTGAGCCAAGTAGATCAGAGGCTTCCCCAAGTAAGCTATGCCGATGCACTCAAAAAATTAGAAAAAAGAGTCGATACAATTAAAACTCAGGAGATCAGGGCTGGAGCTGAACCTGAAATTGAGGTTACACTGTTTGAGATAAAGGAGAGAGAGCGCCGAGCAACCAACGTCCTCTTTTTTGGGGTGGATGAATCAGCTAAGGATCAAGCGGATACGAAAATGAGTGATGATAAAGAAACAATTAAGGAGCTCTACAGAAAAATGAACTTAACCTTGCCTGATACTGCTAAGGTATACAGATTAGGAAGTGAAACGCCTGGCAAAAAAAGACCCATAAAAGTGATTCTACCAAGCAGATCTGAAGCGCTAAAAGCACTTAAGAACAAAAAAATTCTTGAGCAAAATGTTCCCGAAGTATATATTAAAGGGGATCAAACTGAAAATCAGCGAAAATATTTAAAACAAATAATTTGCGATTTGGAAAAACAAAAGAGTGAAGGGAAAGTAAATCTCATTGTGAAATATGTTAATGGGATTCCCAAAATTGTTGAAAAGAGTGAAAAAAACTAAATAAGACAGAGGTAGTTGAGATCTCATTTTGGTATAGTAACATGACCTCAGTAGTAAATAAGATTGACGAGTGGAAAGTGAGGGTGCTAGCTACATGTCCAACAGTAATTATGCTATCAGAAACTTGGCTGAGAGATGACATAGATGACAGATTAATATGTCTAAATGGCTACACAATGTTTCGAGAGGATCGTGCTCATCGAAGAGGTGGAGGAGTATGTATTCTCGTTAAGAATGAGTTAGATAGGCACAAAATAAATTCCAGCGTGTCCCAAAATTTTCGCACTGAAGAACCAGTGGACTCAGTATGGCTTGAACTACAAGTAAGCAAAATAAAAATCAATATCGCATGTATTTACAGGCCAGGAACTACTACTGAAGAAGTGAATAGTCAGATGATAAACTCAATAGCCAATGCATTCACATTTAAAAACCCAACTTTTATATTTGGAGATCTCAACTACCCCAACATCAACTGGAATACCCTATTGGTATCTCCCACAGACAAAAAAACCCAAGATTTTCTAGACATGTACCAGGAGGGTAACATGCATCAAATGATTAACTTTTCAACAAGATTCAGAAACAACCAAAGCTCTCTGTTAGACCTATTCTCGTGTAGTGATCGAAGAAGTATTTTTGACCTGACATCAGAGCCACCCATCGGGCGCAGTGATCATGTTATCATTACAGCAAAAGCTCATTTAAAACTACCACCAAGATCAACACAAAAAGTGCTGCGGAGGAACTACCACACTGCGAAATATGAAGACATTAATAATTTCATCAGAAATCAACCAAATGATTTAGGGGAGACAAAATTTGAGAGTTTTGAGTTGGTATTGAACAACGCAGTACAAGATACATTCCTCTTAGATCTGTAAAAGTAAATCAGCAAAAACCATGGATAAGTCAAGCACTTTTCAAAGAAATAGACAAAAAACGCAAATTGTGGGACAGCTACAAAGGAAATAAGACAGATGAAAACTACCAAGCGTACATGAACCAAAACAACATACTTAAAAGGAATTTAGACAGAGCTAGAAAAGTATATGAACACAACTTGGTAACATCAGAATCTTCGAAACAAATCTACAAGAATGTTAGTCGAAATTTAAATTCTAAGGTGACGACAATAACATTAAAAGACCATGCTTCGCAGGAAGTTTTGGATCCTAAATCGATGGCAGAGGAATTCGCTAAGCAGTTCAACAAGTCCTTCACACCACAGGATGACACTCTTCCCCCAAAATTGCTAGCAAACACTAGAGTGCAGAACACTGTCGATTCGGTGCACTTCACTTTGGAAAAGGTCATGGAAGCGCTCAAGAGCATGAAAAAAGAATCTAGTCCAGGACCAGATGGCATACCAACAGTTTTGCTTCAGAAATGGGGTACTACGGTTGGTTCTCGTCTTGCAGAGGTTATGCAGGAGTGCTTAACAGCAGAGAGAAATCCAGAACTATGGAAATTGTCAATAGTTACGCCGCTATTCAAAAAAGGTAACAGACACAAGCCAGAAAACTACAGGCCCATCAGTCTTACATGCAATCCACTTAAGTGTATGGAAAAAATACTAGTCAAAGAGCTTACAACATTCTTCTTCGAAAACAATCTGATACCAGCGTCCCAGCATGGATTTCTGCCGAAGCGCTCCACTGCAACTAACCTACTTGAATGTTTAAATGATTGGACTAAAAACCATGACAACTCTCATCCCATAGATGTCATTTATCTGGATTACGAGAAGGCCTTTGACAAGGTGCCACATAAGTTGTTGCTTGCGAAGTTGGAGCACTTTGGAGTGCGAGGGCAATTATTAGGATTGATCAAAGATTTACTTAGTGAAAGGTACTACCAAGTACGAGTAAACGGAGCAATGTCGAACAACCACCTGGTTAGCAGCGGAGTTGTCCAGGGTTCTGTGCTGGGTCCACTGTTATTTACAGCCTACTTGTTTGATTTTGTGGATCTAGTTGAAACAAACGTGAAAAATTTTGCTGATGATGCCAAACTTTACGCCAACCCGAAGGAGAGTCGAGAGTTGGGCAAATGTGTGGGGAATGAAGCTGAATTACTCCAAATGTACAGTGCTCAGAATTGGTCCAAACAATCCCAACAAGGAATATATTTTAAACAATACAGTACTGTCAACAGTAACAGAGCAAAACGACCTTGGAGTGACAGTCACATCTGACTTAAAATGGAAAAGCCATATTGTAAAAATCTCTAAAAAAGCCAACTCTTTTGTACATTTAATCAAGCGCGCCTTCAAAGATCACTCAATTGAGATGGTAGGAAAGTTGTACAAAAGCTATATAAGACCGAAGCTGGAATATGCATACACAGTTTGGAATCCCTACTATATAAAAGACATAGAACTACTGGAGAAAATACAAAGGGCTGTGACCAGAATTTCACCAGAATTACAAAATATGACCTACATTGAGAGATTGGAGAGACTGCAACTAACAACACTGAGAGAAAGAAGACACAGAGGAGAATTAATAGAAACATTTAAAATATTAAGTGGACATTACACCTGCAATATTGCACATATTTTTTCTCAAAATGAAAACCCACAACTGCGAGGTCACTCGAAAAAACTAAACAAGGAAAAGACATGTAAGCTCCAGAGAAAAAACTTTCTTTCAAATCGCGTAGTCTTTTCTTGGAATGCGTTAGCAGAAGATACAGTGTCAGCCCCCAGTTTAAACGCATTTAAAAATCGGTTGGATAGAGAGTTAAAACAAAGTGCATCGAGAATGATACATTACAGTGCCTAAAAAATAAACAGTAACTCTAATAAAACAGACAGTAGCTTCATCGGTTTCATTAACCGCCTGCTATTGGAACTTTA